GCCACCACAGCCTTGACCTGCTGAGCTCCTGTGATCCTTCCACCTCAGCCTTCCAAGCAGCCAGCATTACAGGCATGCGCTACCATGCCCGGCTGATTTTGTGATTTATTGTAGAGATGAGGTCTCGCCACCCAGGTGTGTCTCGAACCCGCAGGCTCAGGCCATCCACTCACCTCAGCCTCCCAAAGGCGTGGGATTACAGGCTGAGCCACCGAGCCCGGCTGAAATGGCAATGATTTATAGATAAATTTGGGGGCAAATCCTCAGCTTTGATATTGAATCTTTCATACATGATTGAGCTATTTTTTCATTTAAGCTGGATATGGTGGTGTGTGCATGTACCACTCGGAAGGCTGAGGTGGCGGGATCACTTGAGTCTAGGTGTTCAAGACCAGCCTGGGCAACATAGTGAGATTCTGCCTTTACAAACAACAACAAAACCCAGGTATTTTGTCTTTTATTTAGATCAAGTACTAACTGCCTGGTATTGTAATAAAGTTTTATTGTGACACAGCCACATTTATTTATTGTCTGTGGGTGCTTTTGAACTACAGTGGCAGAACTGAGCAGTGGTGACATATCAATCAGGTGGCCTGTAAGCCATTTGGCCCTTTAAGAGGAAGAAGTTTTCAGATCCCTGTTTTTTTGTTTTTTCTGAGTTGTAGTCTGACTTTGTCACCCAGGCTGGATTGCAATGACATTCTCATGGCTACTGCTACCTTGACTTGCTGGGCTTAGGCAATCCTTCCACCTCAGCGTTCCAAGTAGCTTGGAACTCCAAGCATGTGGCACCGCACCCAGTTCATTTTTTGATTTGTTGTAGAGATGAGGTCTTACCAAGTTGCCCAGGATTGTCTTGAACCTGTGGGCTCAGGCAGTTCTCTCACCTCCGTCTCCCATGTCCTGGGATTGCAGGTGTGAGCCACCATGCCCAGCTTAGGTCTTTTATTATTTTCTCCATAGTAGTCTTGCAAATCTTTTATTAAATAATTCCTATGTACCTTATGGACTTGTAGTTGTAAATAATCTATTTTTAAATCAGTTATGTCTTTAAAATTGTTTGTGAGTATATAGGAACGCTATTGATTTCTGGGTATTGGTTTTTTTTTTCTGAGTTGGAGTCTCACACTGTCACCCCGGTTGCAGTGCTGTGCATCAGGGTTCACCACAGCTTTGACCTCCTGGTCTCAAGCAATCCTTTCACCTCAGCATCCCAAGTAGCTGGGGCTACAAGCATGTGCTTCCTTGACTGCCTGATTTTTTTCAGTTTTTGTAGAGAAAATGTCTCGCTGTGTTGCCTAGGCTGGTTTTGAACTCTGGGCTCAAGTAATCCTCCTGCATTGACCTCCCAAAGTGCTGGGATTACAGATGTGAGCCACTGGTATTGGGCTCAATCTTTTTTTTTTTTTTTTGAGTCAGAGTCTCACTCTGTTGCCGAGGCTTGAGTGCAGTAGCATGCTCACAGCCACCACAGCCTGGACTTGCTGGGCTCAGGCAATCCTTCTGCCTCAGCCTTCCAAGTAGCTGGAACTACAGGCATGTGCCACCACGCCTGGCTAATTTTTTGATTTTGATTGTAGATATGAACAGAGGCAGTTCTCTCATCTCTGCCTCCCAAAGTGTTGGGATTACAGGCATTAGCTACTGTATCCACCTAACAAGTTTAAGATTACTATTTTAGTTTTTTGTTTGTTTGGTGTTTTTTTTTTCCTCTTTGTGTATATGTATTGTTTAGTCTTTTTTCAGTTGGAGTCTCACTGTGTCACCCAGGCTAGAGTGCAGTGACATGCTCATGGCCACCGCAGCCTTGGCCTGCTGGGCTCAGGTGATCCTTCTGCCTCAGCTTTTTAAGTAGATGGAACCACAGGCATGTTCCACCACACCCGGCTAATTTTTTGGTTTATTGTAGATAGGAAGTCTCACCAAGTTGACCAGGCTGGTCTTGAACCCATGGTCTCAGGCAGTCATCTTGCCTCTGCCTCTCAAAGTGCTGGGATTACAGGCATGAGCCACTGAGCCTGGCTAGGCAATTTTTTTTTTTTTTGAGTTGGAGTTTCACTC